ATCATTCTCTCTCTCTCTCAATAATAAATAAAAAAATAAAAATCTTTAAAAAAAAAAAGAAATTTATCAGTCCTTTGTCACGTGTATTATCAACATTGTTCCCACCCTGTAATATATCTTTTGATTTTATTTATGATGTTTATTTGTAATACAGATTCTTTAAATTATTATGTAATTATGAAAGGCTACTACTATTTTACTGTTTATCAGCAGGAAGACAACTGACAAAAAAATATATATATATGCTTCCATGATCCAAAACTCTGGGTGGACAGAAGCATATATGTACTTGCGGCACTTTTTAAAACAGGACCTCAAATTCTTTGGATTTCCTCCTTCACTGAGAAGTCCCCCCCACCCCCATTGAATCTGGGCAGGACGGTGACTGCTTTGACCAATAGAGAATGGTGAAATGGCCATGTGACTTCTGAGGCTGGGTCACAAAGGGCCATACAGCTTGTGTGTTGTTCACTGGGGCACTTTTGGAGTGAGCAGCAACACAGGAAGTCTGACTACCCTCAGGCCACCATGCTGTGACGCAATCCAAGCCTCTTGGAGAGGCCCAATGTAGGTTCTCTGGTTAACTGTCCCAGATGCGCCCAGCCTTCGAGTTATTCCAGTCCAGGAACCAGCCATGTGAGTGAAGAAACTTCCTAGAGGATTCCCTGCCATTGGAATCTTCCCAGCTGAGGCCCTAGTAATCATGGAGCAGAGATCAGCCATCTTTACTATGTCTTGTTTCAATTTCTGACCTACAGAACCCATAGGTATAATAACACGGTTATTGTTTTGTAGTTTTTGTTTGTTTGTTTGTTTGTTTTATTTATATGACAGAGAGAGACACAGCAAGAGAGGGAACACAAGCAGGGGGAGTGGAGGAGGGAGAAGCAGGCTTCCTGCAGAGCAGGGAGCCCGATGCGGGGCTCGATCCCAGGACCCTGGGATCATGACCTAAGCCGAAGGCAGACGTTTAACCATCTGAGCCACCCAGGTGCCCCAAACACGGTTATTGTTTTAAGCCACTGAGTTTGGGGTGATTTTTCACATAGCAACAGATAACTGAACAGTAAGCATATGTGTGTGTGTGAATATATGGTATACATACTCCCACACACATGGAGGAGAAAAGATACCAAATTTACTTAACAAATGTTATTTTAAGATTACGGGTGTTTTAGTTTTTTTTCTTTTATCTCTTCCTACACTTCTCAAATTACAATGTCTATATATTGCTTTTGGGCATTTACATTTTCAAATGTAAATAAAAGTAGAAGCAACAGTATAACGAATCTCCATAACTTACCATCCAGCTTCAATATTTGGCTAACATTTTGCCATTCTTTCTGTATTACTTTTTTTTTTTTTTTAAAGATTTTATTTATTTATTCAACAGATAGAGATAGAGCACAAGTAGGCAGAGTGGTAGGCAGAGGGAGAGGGAGAAGCAGGCTCTTCGCTCAGCAGGGAGCCAGACGTGGGGCTCGATCCCAGGACACCAGGATCATGACCTGAGCCAAAGGCAGCCGCTTAGCCAACTGAGCCACCCAGGCGCCCCTCTTTCTGTATTACTTTTTAAAAAGAAAGAAACCCACAATAAATAATATTTTTATCTTTTCCTGAAATAGAAAGAACTGATGTTCTCTTTAAAGAGCTTGATGTTCTCTGATGTCATCTCCTTAGATGACATTCAGATTGTTAGCCAAAGATTTGAAAAAAAGCAACAGCAACTAAGCAGGGCTCTTACTATTTTTCAGCCCTTCTATATTATGCAGAAAATGCAAGAGCAGTGTGGAGAGATAAGAACACTGACCCTTGACCTTCCACCACTGCTGGGCCCCAGTGTCAAGGGGCTCTTTTTCCAGGGGGAATATAAGGGACTCTCTGCTTCTTTTCCACCTTGAATACATACAACCTTTCGACCCTGGCACTCAGTTTCTTTTTCTAAAAGGTCTCTACCTTCTGTTAAGCTTACATTAAATGGGCTTAAGAAACCAAGTGGCAATGTCCTTTCAGAAACAGCCACATCATCCAAAGGAATGTCAAAGGATGCAGCAATTCTAAGCATTTTCTAGGTGTGGAAGGCAAGCCATGCACTAGGCTGGCGCCAAGAACTGAGATGATCCTTAGGAAAAACTCTGTAGCAACCCAAGGCAATTCGTCTGTCTGCTCACTCGTTTGTTCATTCATTCATCTAAATATTAGTTGGCAGCTACCCTTTGTCCACATTGTGCTAAGGAGAAGAAAGAGACAGGGTCTGCCCTCAAGGAGCTCACAGTCTGGCAGGGAGAGGGGCCGGGAAACACCCAGGCGCAAAATACGCTGACAAAGTCACAGGGGGTTGGGGGAGGAGGTGACACCGGAGCTGAAAGGGTTGGAGGGACAGAGAACTGCACGTATAGTGAGAAGCACATTCAGGGAAGGACCGGCAGCTTAACTGCCCAGAGCACAGCTGGGAAGGAACAAAGAGGTTGGTGACAGGAAAGGGTGGAGAAGTAACCAGAGACCGGCTCCCACAGAAGTTTGTACACCTTGCTAGAAAATTCAGATTCTCTCCCAACACTAGGAGAAAACAGCCAAATTCTTTAGATTCCCGTGTGAGACTCTAGAGGCAGATGGAGGAGGGGGTGGAGGGGGCAGGATTTGCTTTGTGTCCCGCCCCCCAACCCCGTTTCACCAGGGAAGGCCAAAATGAGGCCTGGGCAGCACACTAATCCCTGCAAGGCCCATGCAGACAGTACCCGTTGAAGACAAACTCCCCCAAGCCTAAACGCGGCCTCCAAACCCTTCTTGGTTCAGCACTCCAGACAGCTGCGGCGATCATTCCAGAGGGCCTGCAAGATCACACTTACTTGCCATCCTGGTGTTAAATTACAAGGCCTGTGGGAGCAGGAATTTTGTCTGCTTTCTATCAGGCACAGGGCTGCTCAGTGAGTCTTTTTCTTTTTTCTTTAAGATTTTATTTATTTGTCAGAGAGAGAGAGAGCATGAGCAGGCAGAGTGGCAGACAGAGGCGGAAGGAAACTCCCCGCGTAGCAGGGAGCCCAATGCAGGACTCAATCCCTGGACTCCGGGATCATGACCTGAGCTGAAGGCAGACGCTTAGCCGACTGAGCCACCCAGGGGTCCCTCAGTGAGTCAAATGAAACTGAAGCTAGGGCTCCCGGCTGGCTCAGTCAGAAGAGCATGCGACTCTTGATCTCAGAGTCGTGAGTTGGAGCCCCACGTCAGGTGTAGAGATTACTTAAATAAATAAAGCTTAAAAAAAAAATGGAACTGAATCCTTTCTCAATCTGCCTTTACTAATTCGCCAGCTTGATCCCCATGTCCTCCCGCCTGCTGTGGGTACCTGTCTCACACTGTTCAGCACTGAGAACACGGCACTTATGTTCTGTACTTTTCCTAGTATTTCCTGAGGGTTGGCTAAAAGAGTAAATGAGTAATGATGTGAATGGAATGGCTAGTAAGAGATCATCACTCTCAGAGAGCACCTGTGTTTTCACAGCAGATGAAGGAATGGGGTTTACGCAGACTTTCCGCTATCACTAGAGGGACCGGGGGGAAATACCTTTGAGCTTTTCACAGCAGCACCAAGATCTCTTAGCAAAGGTCTTTTCCAAGAATCTTTCCAAAGCAAATGGGTCCAAGAATGTACGCCTGTGGAGTTACTTGCAATGAACTACTCCATACCTGCTTGTATCGCCTCTTCTGAGTATACTGTAACCACGATTTGATACACTTGCGTAGCAACGTTATTCTGAAATAAAACACATAACATAACACATACTGCCTATTGCACATTCAAGTTTGGGGTTTTAAAAATGTTGTTTGCTTTTTTAAGATTTTATTTATTTATTCATGAGAGACAGAGAGAGAGAGAGAGAGAGAGAAGCAGGCTCCCAAGGAGCAGGGAGCCCGATGCGGGACTCGATCCCAGGACCCTGGGATCATGACCTGAGCCGAAGGCAGACGCTTAACCATCTGAGCCACCCAGGCGCCCCAAATGTTGTTTGTTTTTAAGGCCAGAAAATCTGGGTGTAGTTAACATCTTCAGCGTTAAAGGCACACTATCAGTTTCACTCTAGGAAACAGGGAAAAAGGAACTTATTATTTAACACAAAATCTGTCACCCCTGATTTGGGGCTAAGCTTGCCCCCAAATTTTGACAATTTTCTTATAAACCTAATTAGACCACCAAGCACAGTGTCTCTGGAACTTAGGTAATATGTATGAAATCCCCTATCATAAACTTTCTGGTTTTATGACCAAACTCTGGGACTTGTGGAGGACCACCTGGGTCTGTGACAAGCTTTTTCCACAACTGTGATACCCAGAGTGAGAACTTCATTCAGTTCTGTAAACCAGGATTTAGAATAATGATAGACCCTGGTAACTCCATATTTAAATATTGAGATTCTCACCGACTCATTAAAAAAAATGCTTCAAAATGGGACCTCTAACTATGTGAATTCAGTTGATTGTATTATTGGCTGGGGGGAAGGTATACTGAACATTTCTGGCAGCAAGAAAGTGAAGAGTGGTTACCTCTGAAGAGTAAGACTAAGGGACTAGAGGGAGGGATCCAGGCAACTTTTATTTTTCACTTTATACCTACCTTCCTATACATTGGGTTTTCCTCATAGACATGTGGTGCTTTTATTTAAAATTAGGGACACCCTACACTCTTCAAGACAAAGTCACAAATACCCACTTGCCTGAGCCTGCTTTTTAACACTATCAGTGCTTGAATTCTAAGATGTGAATGTCACTAAAGCCTGAAGGATTGAGGCAGGGAGCTAGCAGACACATACTCCAAACTACGGTGACCAAGAACCAGTACAAACATCTTTATTCTACCTCTCACCTGATCAGCCAAAAGGAAAATGCAAACTTGGGAACCACTGGTTTACAGCAGGGCCTTTCTGAATCTACTGAGGAATGCATGGAAGGGTAAGTGCCCTCTCCTGGAGAACAGTGAGTCAGTCCCTGGAAAGCCCAAGGAGAAGGCCAAAGTCCCCACCTGCAGTGGTCCCAGGCAGCACACAGTGAGGGGAGCTGCTCTCTCTCTTCTCTCTGCTCAATCCGAGTCTGCCAGAGGTCCCAGAACCTGTGCAGCAGCTGAAGCAAAACAGAAAAGAAATGGAAGTTTATTAAGGCAAAAGGTAAAATGATCTCTCTTGACCTATTAGCAAACGCTTGCCCCAAGAGACTATTAGCTCCTCCAGAGGAGGAATTTTATCTCAATTTGGAGTACCCAGCATATAACAGGCTTACAAAATAATTATGGCTAAGCTATAGGGAGCTGTTCTAGGCTAACATAAAAGGCAAAAAGATGAATTTTCCAGTCTATGGAAATCAGAATGAAGAAGCTGAAGCTATTCCTAATCTGGGCCTCATAGAAGACAATGCCATTTTAAAAGTTAAAACTGATCTTATCACCTATTACTGCTCATGACGTAGTCTTGCCAAAAAAAGTGTTTAACTTCAATCTAATCAAGCCCTTAGATCAAACCTCTAATTTATAGGAGCAACGTTTAAGAAAGGAAAAATCAAATGACATCAAATGGAAACAGATAAATTGAGAATATGGAATATTGTATAAGGCCAAATAGCCAGCCTTCCTATTCCAAAACTCAGTGTCATTGAGGGGGAAAAAAAAAAAAAGTATACATTATGCTAAGTGAAATAAACCAGTCACAAAAGGGCATGTACTGTAAATATGAGGTCCCTAGATTCATAGAGACAGAAAGGAGAAAGGTGGTTGCCAGCTGCTGGGGTCAGGGGAGAGAAGAATGGGAAGTTATTGTTTAATGGGGACAGAGTTTCAGTTTTGCAAGATGAAACAAGTTCTGGAGATGGATGGTGGTGATGATTGCACAATGTGAATGTGCTTCAAGTCACTGAACTGTCCTCTCAACGATGGTTAAGATGATAAATTTTGTTATGTGTATTTTACCACAATTAAAAAATAAACGTGTTAAAGTGGGGAGGACTATTATTAAGAGCCTTACAAGACATGACCAAATACAGTAAGTCATCAGCCCTTAGTCGAATCCTGGTTTGAAAAGGGACATTTTGGGGGTAACTGTGAAAATGTGGATATGGCCTGGGTATTGGATAAAATTAGGGAATCACTGTTTGTTTTGTTAGGCATGGTAACAATACTGTGGTTATGAAGGAAAATGTTATTTTTGGGCAACGCAAGCTGAAATGTTTAGGTGTAATGTGTCACGATGTCTGTTATTTACTTTGAAATGACTCCGCAAAAAAAAAAAAATGGAAGTAAATATTAACAATTGGCTAGTATTTGAATTTAAATGGTAAGTATACAGGTGTTTATTCTACTATTCTTTATATTTTTCTGTACGTTTGAACATTTTCATAATGAAAAACAAAACAAAAAAAAACCCCATCCTCCTACACCCAGAAACATGATCTATAAGTAGAGATAGAACCTTTGTTGCCCCTCAGGTAAACCAACCACTGAAGACAACAGACTTACAGTGCAAATACAACCAAAGCCGCCTGGAATGCAAGACTCAGAGTGTACTCCCTAGGTCAGGGTTGGAATCCACAGTCCCTGACCTCTGAGTCAACTATCAAGTTTCTTAGCAAACAGAAAAAAAACGGGATTAAACTAGGGAAAACCAAGGGTTACTCCCTCAGCTGGTAGGGCTACCTAGAGAAAATGGACACTAAGATTTTGGAGTCTAAAAGGTCTGGACAAATCTCGAAGCACAAAGGTTAAAAGAAAAGACAGTGGACGTCAGAGGTCCCTCTATACAGATGACCCTCACCATGATGTCATACTGCTGGTGAGCGAGATTCCTTCTTATTTGCTGGAGATGGGCATGGGTCACATTGTCTTTTAGGGCTCGAAAACAGAAGTGCTGTGAATAGAAGGAAGGACACAACCAGTTACAAATCAGCAGCGTCTGTACAAGTAAGAGCAGCGCCTGAGTCCAGGAGCGAGAGGCCCCAGGCACGTATGTTCACAGCTGCTCCGGGGTCCCAGAGCATTTCTCTGCTTCGAGATTCAGCTGGAGTCCGCTACAAGCCAGCCCGCACAGTAGGCCCTTCATAGGTAGCTGTCGAACTGTTCCCCGCCATCCATCCACTGATACTGCCCAGGAGCAAACACACCGTCGCCTCCGACCAGGACAGATCCCCGTGGCCAAGATGGGAACACGACGGACAAAGGTTAAAAACATCAACTTTGCCTCTCAGAAAAAGAGACGTTTAGCTTATGGTAGTTTTTCTTTTTAAAGCCATGTTGGGGGTGGGGTGGTCCAACATGCACACTTAAACAATTCCAAATGCAGTTCTGCAAGAGCAGAAGAAAAGGAAGAGAAGGAAGCCTTGGTGAGTAGGGGGGTTGGGGTAGTGGCAAGACGTGGGACTGGCTCCAGCTCCATCAACACCGCCTGACACGTGACCTAAGCAAAGCCCTGGGTTCCAGTTTTCTGAGACAGAAGTGAAGTGATCAGGGGTTTTCATATTGTGCTCTGTGGAATCGCAGAGGCACCTGAAAGTGTTGGAAGACCTCCTCAAGTGGTGAGGGTGCAGGAAAGCAGTGGTAGAACAGGGACTGCTCCCAGACCTTGCTTCATCCATAGCATCTCTACTTTGATCGATTTTACAGATTAGGCTCCCAACATTAAAAAGGGAGTCCGCCTTTGGGGTCATGAGTTCAAGCTCCACATTGGGGGTAGAGGTTACTTAAAAAAAATAAAAATAAAATGAAGGGGCGCCTGGCTGGCTCAGTCAGTAGAGCACGTGACTCTTGATCTGGGAGTTAGGAGTTCGAGGCCCATGTTGGGTGTAGAGATCAATTAAGAATAAAATCTTCAAAAAAATAAAAAGGAGGCCTGTCATGTGTTTAAAAAAAAAAAAAAAAAGGACTAGATGACTTCCAAGATTCCCTTATAGCTCCAGACCCCTCTGATCCCACACCATTATCCTTTCTGATCCAAAATGAAAACAGGGACACTTGCAATGGAACAAAGCTCCATGAGTGAAGCTAATCCCATAACCAGATACACCTGAACAGCTTGCTGTGCGCCTGGGTCCTCTAAACGTGGATGCCTGAGCAAGGCTGCTAAGTATTTTTGAAGCACCTACTCTGTGTAGATAGGCTTTCTGTTATAAGGTGTGTGTTCTCCTTACCACATACTGTATAGCTTATAGAGTGATTTTTCCCTCCAGGTTCTCGAACATGGTAACTTCACATCTTGGACTTCAGCCAGTTGTGCTGTTAAATATTAAACACTAAAACTTTGGTGGTTCCTGCAAAGAAAAAAGAAAAAAAAAAAGAGCCTCAAGAGGCTTCCATGCTCCTACCAGCAAGCTGCGCCTCCTGTGTTCTTCCGCCACCTTCCACTGGGCCGCTTCTTCAGCATACAGCAGCACATCTGCAGGGAGTTAAGGCCTCTCATCTCAAAACTGTCCCCACCCTCAGACACTGCGGTCCCAGGGACCCACTGGAAGGGTCTTGGCTGTGGGGGATACCAGGCGTGCCAGGTGGGCTGACGTCCACCTCCATCTCCTCCTGATGACCCAGGGAAGAGGACGCAAAGGGAAACTGTATGAGTAGCTTATCAAACAGTTTGGCCTTGTCCTTCTCCCCTCTGATGCCCATTTGATGACAGGCAAAATAGCTGAGATAAATTGCCACAGATTACAGTAAACATTTCCAAATCACCCCATCTAAAGCATTCCTGTCTTCCTGCCTCCTCTGTTTTGGCACCACAACCCAGTCAGATGTTTCAGCTAAAAACCTTGGAGTTATTTTCAAACCTTCTCCTCCCACTCCCTCCATCTACTGGGCTGCCAAGTCCATCTGCTCTCCTCTGAAATCTCTCCTGCTCTTCTGTCCCCGCAGGGCATCCGACTTGGCCCTCACACAGACTGGCAAGAGTCTTGCATATCTGCTCCCCCCGAGCCAGCTTTGCCCCTGTAATCCAAATCTGTCCCCTCAAGTACAAACCTGCTGCATCGCTTCTCTTCTTACACACCTCCAGAGGATCCCCAGTGCCATCAGGAGAAAGCCCAAGCTCCCGAACATTGCACGCAGGGCCCTACACGCTGGCCCCAGCCTGCCTCTCCCCACGCTGCCCTACTGCCATCTACGCCCCCTCAACTCACGACAGACCCCTGTCACCATCCATGGGTCTTTTCCTCACCTCTGCCTGTGTAAATGCCATTCCTTCCACCTGAAACACCCTTCCCGGCTTCTCTGCTAGGTGACCTTGTCATCCTCTAGGACAAAGTCAACTCGAATCTGCACAGTAGCACTCGCAGGATGTGACACACGCCCTTCTGACAGCACTTACCACACCACACTGCGCAGCCCCATTTTCATGTCCCTTTACCCCACTAGACAACGAACTACTGTTCGTCTTTGAGTTTCCCCATATTCCAGAACTTAGGCAGGAGCTTAAAACAAAGCGTAGAGTCTGATGAACAAATGACCTGCGGATGGCCATCTCCAGTTCGAATCTGCACAGCTGGGCAGGTACTGCAGCAGGGGCAGTGATCGAGAACACGTGCACCGGAGCCAAAGGCCTCGGTTTCAAACTCCCAGCTCGGCCAACGACATGCTGTGATTTTGACAATCATTCAGCCCCCCCTGAATCTCTGTTTCCTCACCTGTAAAACAGGGATAGTAACATCTACTCCATGGGGTTGCTATGAAGATTAAAGAGGTAATGCTTAATGTCTGCACATGGTAAAAGACAATGGAAGCTAGGATCATAATGTTAGGGCTGCCAAGAAAAAGACCACCACACCTATTTCCACCACCTAGTGGGTAGAGAAAAGCAATGAACTGACAACATAAAATTCAGGATAGTGGGATTACCTCTGAAGGGGAGGAAAGGGAATGCAATCATGGATGAGACAGAGTATTAGCAGTGTTCTAATTTTTAAGTTGGGTGGTGGGTACAAAGGTGTTCATTTTATTACTATTCATTAAACTGTAAATGTATGTTACACATACTGCTGTGTAAGCACACTTCCAGTTAAACAGAAAATTTTTAAAAAGAAATCAACAGATATCAGGACTACCTCATATTGTTCAGTAATCGTTTCCCGCATATCCCCGGCCCTTTGTCTTAGAGGCTGTTGCGCGGGCCGGCTGTGGTGGTGGACAAGGCTGGGTGGCTGAAAAGGATACAGTGTTTCCAGTGAGTGAAGGCCCGCCGCAGAGCCATCCTCCGGGCCAGCCCCTCCACCTGGGCGTGCTGGGCGTACAAGCTCTCCTTCCGCTCCCAGGCCCACTGCCAATCACAGAAGTGTGTCTGGAGCATAGTGACCCGGTGGAACCGCTCAGCCATCTCTGCAACAAAGAAAATCACTACGTGCTGCCCCCTGCAAGGCTGAGAGATGAGCTGGAAGCATCTTTAAGATAAGCTGCACCCTACTACTGACACTCGCCAGGGATTTGAGGCTGTTCTTACAAAGTATCTTAAAATAAAAGTTTTTTTAGGCATGGGAGGGTTATTTGAAAGACCTTCCTACACCTCTTCTCTCCAAGGAAAGAGAATAGGTCTGTGATTTTAGGGAGAAGGATGCTATAAAATCAGTTATATCAAAAAGTTGAAGCTTCTAGTTAACTCCTGAGGAGCAGGAATGGCAGCTGCTGTTTTCAAAGAAGACTCTTATTTTGCCTCTTAATGCTGATGTCTCTCGGTAGGACTTGAGGGACTGAGTCAATGACACAACGTGGTCACCATGCTGGCAAAAGTGTTTCTGAGCTTTAAGCCAGGCTCACCCTGGCTGCCAGGTCCCCTTCTTTTAACACTAACTAGCCAATGGCCTGATGAACTAACTTAAGTCCAGGAAGTAGGAGGGAATTGGTCCTAGACTTCAAATGCTGAAATGAGAGGCACATTAGTCTGCAGCTTATCATGCTAAAGAGCTTAATGTCTTTGGCTCCAGGCTTGGGCAACCAGACAGTGGGTCTCCGCCGTTATCCTCAGACAGACACAAACTCAAACTCAAACTCTCCCAAGAGACAGCGCTGGCCTGGCAACCCAGGAGGTTTCTGCAGGGAGCCTGAGGTGAAAGCCAGCCAGCGTCTAGCACACTGCTTGACTCACTTATGTGTGGGCTCAAGAAACCAAAATACAAAAGGTACCAAGGATCGTGACCTACGTATTATTACTTGTGAACGCTAACTGGGAAACTAAACCATAAGAATAGTGTTAAAAAATATAATGGTTTACTGCTGTCATTGTCCATGCCTACAGATAATTTATTTTGTATTTTTGAATAAAAAGACATTTGTACATTCCTGATAACTGAGCGCAAGAGCCATGTACCAATGTACTGCTTTCAACTTAAATCACTGAGGCATTTTTTATTACTATTCTGTTAAAATCAGGATTTTAGTGTTTGCCATCACCAGATAAAAAGTTAAGAAGCAGCCTTTCTGTGGAGAGTAAGAATAACTGTGTACAAAGTAGAGAAATATCCAATTATGTGACAACCTCTGTGTAATAAAACTTTGTTTAAAGTTAAAAAAAAAAAAAAATCAGGGACTCCTGGGTGGCTCAGTTGGTTAAATGTCTGCCTTCGGCTCAGGTCATGATCCAAGATCTGGGATTGCCCGGGTCTGGGATCGAGTCCCACATCGGACTCCTTGCTCAGCAGGGAGACTGCCTCTCCCTCTGCTTGTGCTCTGACAAATAAATAAATAAAATCTTAAAAAAAAAAATCAACATCATAAATCACATGGATTGCATCACTGGGGAGAAGCAGAAACAATCCAAATTATCTATCGATAGAAGAATGGCTAGATAGTATATTAAGGTAGACCATCCTACAAAATGCAGACAATCATTAAAAAAAATAACATTTATGAAGACTAAAGATATAGGAAAACATTGTTAGTTGTGGGGAAAAAAAGGAAGATACCAAGTTGTACGTATCATATTAATCATAATAATCATAGTATTTATAGGATAATTAAACCCTATTAAAAATATATGTAATAAATAAAATCTTAAAAAAAGGGGGGGCGCCTGGGTGGCTCAGTTGGTTAAGCGTCTGCCTTCGCCTCAGGTCATGATCTCAGGGTCCTGGGATTGAGCCCCGCATTGGGAAGTCTCAGAGGGGAGTCTGCTCAGAGGGGAGTCTGCTTCTCCCTCTCCTTCTGCCTCTCCCCTGGCTCCTGCTCACACATGCTCTCTCTCTCCAACAAATAAACAAACAAACAAACAAACAAATAAACTCTTAAAAAAAAAAGTGTGGAAGAAAAGGCCAGAAGGAAATAAATGTGAATTGAGGATGATTTATGTTTCTCCTCAATCTCTTTTTTTCCAAAATTTGGGGAATATGGTTCTCTCTCTCCTTAATAAATTAGCACCACTGGCAGAAGAGTGGAAATTGTGATGTGCCCCTCTGTCTCCAGAGCCCGGGAGCTCACCGTTCCATTGTCTCTTCACTCTGCGGACCCTCAGGTATTTGAGCCAGGCCTTCAGGGATTTCCACTTTTGCCAGTGCTCATGGTGTTTCACTGCGGAGACCATCTTCCATCTCTCCCTCTGGACATGTAGGAGTTGTTCCCACCACCGTGACCAGGCCTGAAAACCAGAGGAGAGGCGGGAAAACAGAGGTGAGGTACACCTGAGGGAAAAGAGAAACAGACACACTGGAAAAGCTAAAACTAGAAACAAGGACGTGGCAATCCCCAAGGAGGATCATGATCTATGGAAATTTGCAGTGAAGGGCTCTTTAAGAAGGGCATTCTACTTCCAGAAAGTAACTTTTTTCCTGGGTTAAGAACAACAAGGGAAAAGAGGAATAATAAAATCAACGAGTAGACAAGAAGCAAGGACAATCCAAGGGGTGATATACTTAAATCAGATCTGGGACAAGTGAGGGTCTGCCTTTTTCTTCCAAGTGGGAGGAAGCCTATGGTCTCAGGCACATTAGTTTCTGGGAAGAGTTAGCTACAGAAGCTAAGGGTCTACGGAAGGATTCCCTCAAGACGATAAATGTGTACCCTCAGCTAAGTCTTCATGTTTGCTTGGTGATATGCATCCCTAGTTTGCATATCTCAGATGACAAATTCATACCTTCTTTCCTTAAACCTATAATACCTCTTTCTCCTCTCCTTCCTCTCAGCTGAATACCATTCTTCCATTTCACCAAGAAAATAAAAGCAATCAAAAGAGCATTTTCTCAAGCTCCTTCCACATCCACCCACCCACCTGCCCACAGGCTCTGACTTTTCTCTGCCTCCTCTGAATAAAGTGTCCACGCTCCCTTCAATCAAAAGTCACCCCCAGTATGACTACATCCCATGGTCTCTCACCTTCTCAAGTTTATCACTGGCAACTTCCCCCTTCTGCATCATCGGTTTTCACCCTCTACTAGGTTTTCTAAAGCAGCATATGAATGTGTTACTATTTCTCCCATCCTCAAAAGCAAATTCCTTCAGGGATACAACCTCTGACTGGATCCTGGACCTGCCTCTAAAATAGCAATAATCTATGGTTTGAATATGAACCATATTGTAGATATTATCATATCAATATTGAATGTCTTGGATAAGATGATATTGTGATTATGTAGGAGAACATCCTTATTTTTAGGAGATATAAGCTGAAGTATTTAGGGTAAACATTTATGTTGGCAACTTTAAAGCCACTCAGAAAATGTAAGAAATACATTGATATACTTAAAGAAAGCAAATGTGGCAAGATGTTAGCAATGGGTTAAACCAGTAAATACAATATCTACCTTTTCTGTCATTTAGTATTTGTCAAAAATAAAAAGTTGGGGGGAAAAGATTACGGTCACAGAAATACTTTGTGAAAGGAATAAATCAGATTCTTGAGCAAGCCACCACTAGATCACTTTGCCATCCAGCTAACACTTGAGTTCTTTCCTTTCCTTTCCAAACTCCTCAAAAGAGCAGTCTATTTTCTAATTTCTCTTCCCCGGGCAGGCTCTCATGAACCCTCTCCCCATCAGGCCTAAGGGAACTGCTCTTTCCAAGTGCATCAATGATCTCCACATTGCTCAATCCAAAAGTCAAATCCCAATCCTCACCCTCCCTGACCTGCCGGAAGCATCTGATGCAGCCAATCAAGCCTGTGGATTCTCTGGGCTACCGACAGTCTCGCCTTTATTCCTCCCAGGCTGGGTCCCAGGACCCCTCTGCTAGCTATACTCACTCCCTTTGTGCTTTCACGCAGCCTCATGACTTTAAGTACCAACTGCAAGCCAAGGACTCCCAAATTTACATCTCAGGTCTCGACCCATCCTCCATATTCCCCAAATATCCAACTGCTTCCTTCACAGTTCCTTGGGGGATATTCAAAAGGCCTTTCAGGCTGAAGATGTGGCACTCAAAAAGGAGCTAATCCTTCCAGACAAACCTGCTTCTCCCTCTATCTTCCCCATTTTACTAAATGGCCATTCCACTGTTCCAGTTACTCAGGCCAGAAATCTGGAGTCACCTTGGATTCTTTCCCTGAAACTTCAGGTCTTAACTATCTATTAGCAAGTCCTGTCAGCACTACCTTCCATGTATACCCAGAATCCAACGCCATCTTGCTATCATCCTTGTCTAGAATCTCACCTGGGATTTTGTGGTTTTTTTGTTTTGTTTTGTTTTTTTATTTTATTTATTTAATTGACAGAGAGAGAGAGACAGCGAGAGAGGTAACACAAGCAGGGGGAGTGGGAGCGGGAGAAGCAGGCTCCCCACGGAGCAAGGAGCCAGATGCGGGGCTCGATCCCAGGACCCTGGGATCATGACCTGAGCCGAAGGCAGTCGCTTAACCAACTGAGCCACCCAGGCGCCCCTCACCTGGAATTCTGTAATAGCTTCTTGCCTGTTATCCCTGCTTTCATCCTTGATCTTCTATGGTCTATTCCTAACACAACAGCTGAAATCAAGGCCCCCCCCCCGCAACAATTTAGACCTATGGCTCCAACTGCCTCTGACCAGAGTCACGTAGCCCTTACTTACCGTTTAAAAAACCTGTAAAAATGCCTCCGGGAATAACACAAACTTGCCTTTCGAAAAGTCTGTGGGATGCTGTTCTGCCTGAGATAACTGTAAACACAATGTGCTGTGTTGGCATGAAAAAAATAATAACAACTTGCAGCTTAGTGATAATCACGGGATGTAGAACTTTTGCCTTTGTACTCTAGAGAAGACACTGCTAACACCATCTGCTAAGAATGTTTTACAGTTCTAGGCCCCTAAAGTGGAACGACCGGGTCCCTGAAGCAGAACGACCACCTCACTACAATCATCCTGAAACCAGACAGGGAGATGCCAGAAGGGAGAAGATGATCAAGAAGGGAAATGTTATAGCTGACCTAACCCTCATCAATCAGCATGATACAAGACCCTGAGACCCTTCCCCTGAATTTCACCCTTTAAAACCACCCGCTTGTAAGCCAAAAGGGAGTCTGGGACTTTTGAGCATCAGCCCTGTTCTCCTGGGAGGCGCCACAACAGCAAATAGTCTATCTTTCTTCACTGCAAAAGCCTGTGTTAGTTTTTATTGGCTTGCTGCACACCGTATGGATGAACTCTCACGTGGTTTGCTACAAAGCCAGAGCGATCCTTTTTGGTTGTTTTGGTTATGTCACAATTCCATCCTTTTTATAGGACATTTTTCCTTCCTGCCTTTTTTCCTCTTTCATGCCACCAATTTCTTTGAGAAACTAGGTCATTTATCCTATAAAATGTCCCACACTTTAGGTCCGGCTGACTGTCTCCTCAAGGTGTCTTTGACTTGTTCCCCTGATCCCTGTATTTCCTGGGAACTGATAGACAGATTCATGTTAGGCTTGGCTGGAATCATGTTCAAATTTTTAGGCAAGAACACTTCTCAAGTGGTGCTGGGGACCTCCCATTACCTCACATCATGAGGCACATCACAGCTGGCTGCCACCATTTTAACAATGTCAAGGCTGTCCATGGCTTCAGATGATGGCAGCCTGATCCCTCCATTTTATTTCCCCACTGTCTTCCCACTCTGTGGTTGCTGCTTAGATCCATTTTCTCATTAGAGGTGGCAAACCAGCAATTTTCTCATTCTAGTAATCCTTCTGTAGCTACTAACTAGAATTCTATAAAGAAGCCTACTCTCATTAACCCTCGGGTTTTGCAAAGATATAGTTTATATAGGCAAGGCAGGATAAATGCTTGATTTTTGCCTTCACTAATTTTTAAACTGAGTTAATGCTCTAACAACCCAAATATGTGACCAGTGAGTTCCTTCCCCTCCCCTCATTATACACGCATGAATTTTTATATATTTGATGTGTTTTCAATTCACTGCAGTCATTACTCTTCTGGATGTCCCAATTGTTCTATTGTTAGTCTATGAAAGTCCTTTGGCTCCTGAGTCCTTCTGACACAAGCCCATTAACCTTTGTTAATGTCCTCACTTTCCAGCACACTATATCCTAGGCCTATGATGTGCCTGATGTGCATATCCTGCTGTAGACCAGGAATCAGCCATTTCTCCAAAAAGCCTCTGTTCCTTTTAGCCGGGAAAGAACAGAGCCCACAACTTGGGCACTGGGAATACTAAATGCCATATATTCTGCTGCTCATTGCTTCTAACTTTTCCATAAACGAAATGAGAAATACATTTAAGGTTAAAAAATGTCCTAAGTCTCTACTGATATTTACAGTTCCAATCTCGGATTATAGGGCTTTTATCTCATTTCTTTTATATTTGTAATCTTTTCCTTGACACTGAAAATCATGATTCCTAATGACACTGCCATGGTTACTTGCTTTATCTCACAATGTAGCTATAATAGTTTCAACATGACAATTCTAACCCTGCCACTCATAATAAAGCTAATGAATGCAGGTTTCTGATTTCCTAGCAGTTCTTTGTGTCCTTAGAATGCATTCCACTAGGGATGAACAGTCAAATATTGTATTTTAAAGTTACTTGAAGTAATTATTTTCTCTGTGTAGTCATGGCTACAAACTTAAGTTTGTTTCAGTGTGTCTTAAAATTCTGGGGATCACTTTCTTCCTTTTTGATTTACTGTGGTTTTTTTTAATTATATAAAATATTTCTATGGTTCCAAAGTTTAAATTGTATAACAGAGTAAATTCACTAAAGTATTTTGTTCCCACACTGTTGCCTCTATCCCAGTATGGGTAACCACTTTTTGTTAGTTTTGGATTTATTTTTTCCATTACTTTTTCTTGAAAATATAAGACGCACACACACACATACACACACACCCTTTCCTCCCCAAAGGCAGCACATAATGAACCAGAGGGATCCCATTAAGAAGTAGGTGTGATCATATCACCCTCACTCAAAGCCAGCAGCTTCTCACCCCCACTGGAATAAGAACGTAAAGCCTTTATGGGTGCAGCCTGCAAGGCCCTGGGGTGTCCTCCTTGTTACCTCAGGACCTAATCCTTCCTACTCTCTCTCTCTCATGCTCATCAACGTATCACAAGATATATCAAGTTCATGGATGGGATGACTCACATTATCATAACCATGACAATTTTCCTCAATCTAATGTAAAAAGTCAGTGCATTATAATAAAAATCCTAGTATGCTTTGATGTGGAACTTGAAAGTTGATCCTAAAATTAGTAAGAAAGAGTAAAGAAGAATAGCCAAGATGATTTTTAAAAGAACAGGAATAAAAAAGATCATCCTTTTCCATATATAAAGACTTAAGAGATAAGGGAGCCTGGCTGGCTCAGTCAGAGGAGCATGGATGGGACTCTTGATCTTGGGGTTGTGAGTCTGAGCCCCATGTAGGGTGTGGAGATGGCTTAAATAAAACAAAAGACTTAAGAGATAGATCATAAAAGTAGGAATAGTAATAAACAGCTAGCATTTACTGAGCTTTCCATATTCCAGGCATTGCTCTAAGCATATTACATTACATATTACATTAATATTGCTCTAAGCATATTACTTAATCCTCAACAACCCTATGAGGAAGGTACTATTATTATCTACTTACAGATATGAAATCTAAGGTGTAGGGAGGGTAGGTAACTCATTCAAAGGTACAAAGCTAATAGCAATGGAAGCAAAAACCTGCGCAGTCTGATGGAAGAATCTGCTTGTTCTTACCTGCTTCATTAAATCACAATTAAAACAGTGTGGTATTGGCTCAGAGACAGAAATACAGACCAATGGAACGGAGAGTCCAGAACAGACCCGTGAAAAAATGAGACCCTGCTCTATAATGAAGGTAGATTGATAATCAGTATAAAAAAAGATAAAGGATGGATGAATCAGCAAATAGTGCTACAGCCATTAATTATCCATATGGAAGATGACAAACTGAGACCTTTTTCACACAATTTGTAAAATTAAACCCAAGATGTATTAAAGACCAAACTGTAAGATACAAGAATAAATTAGGCTAGGTTGAAATTAATAACATCTGCATAAAAAAAAAAAAGGCACCATAAGCAAAGCAAAAAGACATGATCCTGGAGTCCCGGGATCGAGTCCCGCATCGGGCTCCCTGCTCAGCGGGGAGTCTGCTTCTCCCTCTGACCCTCCCCCCTCTTGTGTGCTCTCTCTCTCATTCTCTCTCTCAAATAAATAAATAAAATCTTTAAAAAAAAAAAAAGCGATTTACTCTTATGTATAGTAGCAGTCACTTCTTTTTTTCCTCTTCCCTGTTATATTCTCTATAACTGACTTGGCAAACCCAGAATACCAAGCGGACCCAAAAAGTGACAGAAACTCAAAGTATATCAAGGGTCATAAGAAAAGCTTCACCACAGCATCGTCTTGGTACAGATGTTAGGCCTTTATTACGGACCAAAAGCCAGTGGCTTCCCCTAATATAAGCAAAATTATATATAGAAGTCAGGTTTTCTTTACAGTCTTAGTTTCTTTTCTGCCCTCCTTATTTTCCAACTTGATGTAGGAAAACAGTAACAAGGAAATAAAGAATATAATGCTGTTTCTTTAATCATATTTATAACTAATTCATAAATCCCTTCCCAGCACCACAATTAGCAGATGCGCTATGCAAACCACTGGTAATCACATTCAGCATATTCCTAATAGCAGCCTCTATCTGCTGAGCCCAGCCTTTCATGTTGCTTCTGTCCTCCACCCCTTGCCCAGCCCCCTTCGCTGCAAGGAGGGCCCAGGACAGAGGCAGCAGCATGATGGCCAGCCTTCTGCTTGGGAGTCCAACCCCACCCTCTGGGTGTGGGGCTTGACGACATGGACAGAAGATACCAAAACCACAGTCGGCTGCACCCACCTGCAGCTGGAGGCTCAGGGCCCTGTGCTTCACAGCTGACGCAAGCAGGGCATGGCCCACACGCACCTGTCCCAGTTGCTCCCTCCACTGGCTCCACCACAGCCTGTCAAAGAACAAATCAAAGATGGAACCAGTCAAAAAAAAGCCACCCAGAAAAGAGAAGGGCAGTGAGGGCTGGGCCTTGGACCCTCGGCTCAAGTCCCTATTCCTCACTGTGCCGGCCATCTTAATTGACATTGGTTGGAGCCACTGCTGAAAAAAACGAGAAATAGTTCTAGAACAGCCAATTAAGGGTTGGAAACTGATGGTTCCTAAGCTTCCAGCCTTAGAAACTATAGATATGCTCTATTTGGAATTACACAGGTTTAAAAATATATATTTATGAATTATTGCCAACATTAAAAAAAAACAGGAGATTTTATAGAATAATCTGCAAAAAACATGGCTTTTAGATTTCCAGTTTTGGCTTCTTTTCTCCTTATTTTCTAATTAGCTGCAGGAAAATAGTAGTGAGGAAATGAGAGTTTGCAACCTCTTTTTTTCACAGAAACACTCACTTTGCCTGGTTACTCTAACCTAGCAAAATCTTTCTGTCCTCCTAATCTGGGCCAGGCTTAGCTGCATCACTCACTTCAATATCTCAAACTATCTTGCATTACTACTTATCTTTTTAAGCATTTAGGGAATTACAAGTTCCCTGAATGCAGCCCCAGCACCCAGTGTAGTACTAGGAACATTTTAAGCTCCCAATAAATATACACTGAATAAATAAAATTATGTAAAAATATTTTCTATAGACTCTAATAGAAATGCATACTTATTAAGCATTTAAAAGTATTTGCCAGGATGCCGGGGTGGCTCAGTTGGTTAAGTGTCTGACTCTTGATTTCAGCTCAGGTCAAGATCTCAGGATCCTGGGATCGAGCCCCCCCATATTGGGCTCCCTGTTCAGCGGGGAGTCTGCTCCTCCCTCTCCTCTCTCTCTCTGCCCCTCTCCCCAACTCGTGCTCACGCGCGCTCTCTCTCTCTCAAGTATCTTTTAAAAATTTGCCAAATAAATTTTAAATAAAAATAACTTAAAGAAGTTATTTAAAATAAAGAATTTTAAGGTGTACTGATGTTCTGGATACTGTGCTAAATACTTTAGAGATTACCATATTTATTTCCCATGACAACCCTGAAAGACACTTAATGGTGTGCCTGTCTCACACATAAGGGAAGTGAAATGTGGAGAAGTGAAAGGACCCAACACTGCATGTTGTAACATGGATTTGAGCTTGTCAGTCTAACTGCAAAGCTTCTGCCCTTATCCATACTATATAGAGGGTCTAGCTCTTTTGAGCTTTTAATATGCTGCCATTCAGGACACCAAAGGACCACCAGAGATAATGTACAGTGGGATCAGTCCCATTATAAAGCAGCTCATTGTTACACATGCTTGGCTTTCAAAGTCATCTAACTCATGTCTCTCCAAAGTGTGGACAGTGCTGACGAAAGGCTGTGCAGAGCAGTTAAGAGCATGGGCTTTGGCATCAGAAAGATGGGTAGGTGAGCCCTATTTTGCCAAATACAACTTATATGAGCTTGGGCAAGTTACTCAACCTTTCTGAGACTCTTTGTGTATCTTGGTCTTTACAAAAACAGTACTTAGTTTAGTTTATGGTGACGATTATATGAGACTTTACATTAAGAAAATTAACACACACAAACTTAACACAGGGTTTAGAACATAGTAAGTACTCAATTAGTGTTACTTCTGATTGTGTGAAACCTGATTGTATAGTGGAACAAGCTGTCAATAAATATTTATTAAGCATCAATTATGTTTGAAACACTGTTTTTAAGGTGGGTTTTTAATGCTTCGTAAAACAAGGCTGAGGTAAGATGATGGCTGCTGATCTGTAGGGCAAAGGAGTGCACTCACCACAAAATACTCTGCTGCCTAAACTCCAGGGCGGTGGTCTGCATCTGAAGTTTGGTTCTACGAAAAACCACGTAGATCAGCCAGGACTTCCAGGCCTGCCTCATCTTTTGCCTTGCATCTAGATGCACCAGAAAGATTTTCAAAGAGGAGTAGGGAGAGATACATTACTCTGGGTTATGATAAAAGCTCATGGGCTCTCTGTATTCATCCCTCCTTTTGAAGATCTAAATTCCTCCAGCCTTCAAGTGCCCCCTGGTGGAAAAGTTGTGAAGCTCTACAAAATAAATCAGGATGCAAGTACACGCGAAGAATGGCTACGTAAGTGATGACATTTACAAAACGCAGGAAAATCAATATACTGCCCTGTCCAGAAATCTTTTGTCTTACAGCCCTTATTTTTAGAGATATGTTCCATAATATTTACAGATAAAATGATATGAAAACAAAAAGCAGAGAAGTGAGACTGGTCTGAGTTGGTAATTGTTGAAGCCGAGTGACAGGTACATGGAGGTTCATTATTCCATCTTTCAATTTTGTAGATACGTAAAATTTTCCACAGTAAAAAGTTAAAGGAGAAGAAGAAATCATGTCATAAAACTTGCTGTTTGAAACAATAAGCAACACAAAAGAAAAGGATACCACGTATATCTATTTGGAAAACAGAATAAAAGGGATCAGTAATGATCCTGGAGAAAAGAGACTTTACTAGATACAGAAACTGCAAAGGTCCACAGGTCTCCCTTTGCGGTAAATCCCATTTTTATTATCAAAGTCTAATGAAATAAATTTCTGTTCTTTTTAGAACAAGAAGGAGAAAACAAAAAAAAAATTTTTTTTTTTTTAAGATTTTATTTATTTA